TCCATCCGCGATGCCTTTCTGGGGCATCGATCGCAGATTACTTCGTCGGAACTTCAAAACTGATTACTGCGAAGCGAGTGAGATATTTTGTATTGCAAACGCGAGAAAGTCAAAGCTACTGCTTTTTCGATGTATTAACTATTTCCGAAAAAATATTTCGCAAGTAAAAGGAATGATATATGTGTATCTCTCCTAGGTGGCTGCAAAGAGTCGGTCAAATGAAAGTTCTTTGAATTATATTGAAAAGATGACACTAATAAATAGTTTTGGTCAAGCAAGTATTTCATTCTATCCAGTAAAGTTAATGATAAAATGGAATATAATTTTTAAGATATAATATAATTGCTGAAACGTAACGTTAATTGTAACGTTGATGTTAAAATGTAATATTAATTATGATATAATTGTTAATAGAACAATTGTTGATACATTAATGAGTGATAATTTCTTCTTTATTTGATGCAGGATAAAGATTTAACTCACGTTATGTTTTTCTATAAGCACGAAAGTGTCTACTATTGTAATATTATTCTTTTAACACAATAATATTTATCAGAAATTCGATCAACTCATGTGCATCATATTACTGACAGATACTTTACTGGTCTAGCCTGATAGTCAATTGATCGATGTTAAAGTTGACAGATTGTCAAGGCAAGAATCAATCATATTAAAGAATCACTAAGCGCTAACTGATTAGTTTTCTCTGCTGAACGTAGCTATTTATTTTTCAATCTTATAAAACACTTCAAATTATGAACCAACAAACATATTATGCAACGTAAAAATAAGAAATTAAAAGTTTCGAGAAGTAATCAGTAAGTAATTACTGTCTATCTATTCAAAGAAAAATATTTAAAATTTTTGCATTTGAAAATTTTTTGTTTAACAAATTAATTGTAATAAATTAGGAAAAGAGAGTCGTACACACGATTCTGTACATAAGTGATGCGTTGCTCGTTAAGAAACGTGATACTCTATTTTAAAGACTGACTCTTTCGAGAGAGAGAAAATTCTCAGAGAACTCCTCAGTACTCCAGTAATTGAGAAACAGCCAACGGCCATCGTAAAACGTAACATAGAAAAATACGCAGTGCCCGCAGCAGTTTCGTAGGAAGGCTTTTTCCGTTCGACCGAGAATAACTCACGATCGGTAGGCGATCAGTACGACAAAAAGGGAGGTTGAGGACAAGAAAAGGTCCAGAGGCTTGAAATCTAGTCCTTTTCAAGAAAATATTTCGCACGAGACCGGCGATAAATCGAATGACTTATTACTGCGAGCCGCGTAATCTCGGACTCATTCTAAAGAAATGTGCTACGCCATCGAAAATAGATATGTCGCGGACCAGATCCATTCAAAAACACGACCATGAATTTTACATCAGCGCGTCAAGCTAAAGCTAACAGATTCTGAATTGAAATTAAATCGGGACGCTCAGCCGAGGAAGCCAACGAAGAAAAGAGAAGTTGCCCATCATTCTCCACTTATTGCACTGATTGATTTACGACTACACAATAAAACGAAGACGAGTGAAGCAATAATCGATCAATAAAGATCGCAGCATATTGGTAACAAAAAATATGTAAAAGATATTTTACGATTATTTAATTTACAAATAATTTATAGAAGGATAACTGATAAAAACAGAAATAAAAAGGAAATATATTTTACGAGTTAATTGGCTGTAATACACATATAATTATAATCCTTTTTCAATTCAATGTGATTTTATGAAAATTAGTTAATTTACAGCATTTGGTAGATAATGTATATATATTTTATTGATAAAATTAATATTTTATAATTTGATATATTTAATGCATACATTTTTGTATATTGAAATTTGATGTAGAGAATAATGATAGAGATGTACCTCTGTAAAAATTTGTCAAAGCACTTAATACTGAGGGATTGTTTGGACTAAACAAATTTTATCGTTTTGCTCGACGACCTTTAACACATGGACGATGACGGCGAAGGGATATTAATGCCGCGGCTCCATCTCAACGAACCAATAAATTCCGAGTTTAAATCCGGCGGTTTAACTTTAGTGTTGCTGAACGATCACGCGAGTTCAATCGTCGCACGATATTTCGCTTCAGAATGTTTATCACGAAACTTTGGTATTCCCGCTAACTTATGATTCCGCATATTTTCTCGCTCGAGTGAAGACACCTTTAACTTTCTAAATGTATTCGTTGTACTTCAATCGCGAACCGTGTCAGAAAAGAAAAAATTCCAATGTTAAAATATCACTTCATTAAAACAGATATACTTAAATATTTTTCCCTTTGTTTTTCTCGCTTTTTACTTGTTTCCATTGCATTATACAAAATAATTTATACATATAAATACTTTAAAACTGCAAAGACTTCAAAATCAAATAAAGAGAGCCCAGGCAAAATTACACTAGAATTCAGAGTTAATTAAAGTTCGAATTTTTTTAACATCTATGTTTGGTCTTCTTTTACAATTTTAGTTTTACAATTTCAGTATCCAATTTCGACAATTTTGACAAAAAACTTTTTTCGAAAATCGCAACAAGTTTCTAACGGTCAAAACCTGTTTCCGCAGAGATTAACATCATAAAATTGTCCTAGAAGAAACTAACGCCAGTCATGTCGAAACTTTGCTATAGCTGTTCGCGACATGTCGATGTTTTTCCGAAAGTTTCTCAAATCATGCGATTTAATCTAACCGAGTCCTACACGACTGTAAAACTTCGTTGACCGAACGAAATGCAGTTTTGTCGCGGTTGGGCGCCGATGCGCTGTGATGGCAGGTCGTACCGCGGTTACAGCGATTCTATTATACGTTGTACTGTTACTGAACGTGTCATCCGTAATTATGATTGACGAACCGATTTATTATACGCGTATGCGCATCACTCTTAGCGTAATCAGTTACGCATAAATCATATAAAATATCATAGCAAACATCATACTATCCATATACATGCATGTAAATTGTATATATAGCGAGTAAGATATATATATATAGGATATATATAGTCATTATTTTAGAGGTAAAGCCAGATAAAGCTAAATGCCTGAGTTAGCATACGATAGCAATTAGCAAGTCACTAATGCTATTATTAAAGATATATCAAGTGTATAGTCTTTGCAAAAAGTGACAGGGAATAGGAAATTTATACTTTTCGTGTAAAAATAAATGTTATATATACATATGAAATAGTTCAAATAGTTATATATACATATGAAATAGTTAAAATCAATATTTATATATTCAACACTACAATTTTACAGTTTAAATAAAATTTTTTTCTCATTTTATATATATAAATTTTTTTTTAAACTCGTTTACTCCTTATTAAAATAATTTTTTTATCTAGATTCTAAATCGCGTCAGCCTTTCTATGTTACTTTCAAATATAATATAGAAAAATCTATAACTCTTATATTTTTTTTATTTTGTTAAAAAATGTGTAATACACCTTCAACTTGAATTTCGAATGTCTGCAAGTACTATAGTTACATCTGGCATGACTAGCTTAGCTTTATTGATATGTATCGATTTTTTACTGTATTTAACACGTCGATCGACTAGAAATGTCTGCGGCAAAGATGGCTTATAATATAAGTCGCGGGAGTGTCGTTCGTTAAATTATGTACTCGTCTAAAGTTATTTTCGGATTTCTATATCAGGACGGAATAGTCGAACGAAGTGACACGAGTTGATAGAAGTCGCCGCGTGCAGAAATCTCTTTAATGCAAGCGTCCTTGAATACTAATAGGCGAGGATATATTATACTTATACACATATCTTGATTTCATAATAATTTTATAGTAATATTAAAAAATTTATAGAAACCGACTATTATTATTATAGATAAAAAATTATGCAATTACACATTCCAATTTTAAATAATATTGAAAATCAAGTGTATTGCCTAAATCAGCTTCTAAGAATGTATGGATCATATCTCGAAATATTATCAAAAATATCAAAATTTCATACATTGTGTCATTACGTTAAAATATTTGTGTAAAATTGGAGCACAATTCTCTTATTAATTAAAAATTATTTAAGTCTTTGTTTGTCTTGATTTTTACATAAAATCGTGTTTACAATGCTTATTTGCAAAATTGAAGAAGTAACATAAGAAATAAACTTTATATTTATATTTAAACTGATCGAATAATAATAAATATTCGTGCAAAAATTTATTTTTGTGGATTCACTTACTCGTTTAAAAGTTATTTATCTAAAATTGCAAAAAAATATGGTTATTTTGCTGCATAAAACCATTATAAGCCAAATTATTTGTTTTGTTATTTGTAGATGGTTTCAGGGTATTCACGAGCTCATATCATGAAAATTTTTTAGTGATATTGGCTGATATTAGCTTATTTTGACTGATTGACTGATATTTTTAACTGATGTCAGCCAAAACATCCTTAAGCAGATTCATATCTTTTGTCAGAAAATAAGTACAATGTACAAAATAAGTATTTTGAACAAAAAATTTAGATTAAAAAAATATTCAAGCGATGAGAGCAGACAGACTTTATAAGAACCTTGCCATTAATAATTACGAGGTTGAGAAAAATGTCTGGTTAAAAATAAATGAACCAGAAGTTTCTGATTATATCAATCAGAATTCTGGCCATCTTATAATTAGAATTTAATGAAGTTAATTAGAAAATGCTGATTCGTTCATTTTTAACCAGAATTCCAATTAATTCAACCAGACATTTTTTTTCAGTATAACATTTACTATAATGTTTAACTTTTCAGTGATCGAAACACTTATTTATTATATCTTTCAATCGATAGATGTAAAGGCCTTTTTTATTCGAATCGTTAAGAGTTCATGATTCCCTCTCTCGTCAATACTTTCAAGTCGTTCGAAGAAATATCGTTCGTGCTCTTTCATTTCTGAAATGGCTTAGACGAGCGATAAAGAAAATCATAACGCGAGTAATGTCGCGTACAATCTCACCGTAAAATATCGAAAAGTGCGTCACGGCGAGCTTACCTTGAGGTAGGACGGTGAGCAAGAGGACTATTTGGAGACCGGCGACGATCGTATTATAAAACTTTATTCGCAACTGCGGTAGACCTCTTGCCTGGTGCGCCATGGCAGATGAATTTTGCAGGCCCAGGTCGAGGCGCGACACCGACTTGCCGATGTTCATCTATCCGGTCCCGACGTGCCCCGTCGTGACCGTGATGCACTGCACAATTTTGCGTGTTCACTTCTACACGCAGCGGTCACCGCCGCGAGTATCGCCCGGAAGCGCTTTGTCACCCGCTGCGTCACTGATTATCATCATCGTGCAGGGTGTCACGAGTCGAGTTCAATTCCGCACGAATCGTCCGCTAATCGATACTCGATGCCCTCGCTAACGCACCCCCCGACTTCGCCGTCATAACCAAGCGTTCTTCCGCGCGCCTCGGTTGTGCGTATTTCGCGAGGTCTCGATCGCTGAAAAGTGCCGGCGTATTATTGTTTGCAGAGAGAACGCGCTACGTTCGCGCGACGATGCTTCCCAACGTTTCGAGCATTCTCACGGGGGATCCTGAAAATAATGATTTCGTACGTGTCAACGACCCTCTCGCACCCACTTCCCATCGTGTGCGGCGTCGTTTCACGGAATGCATTTGCGTTATCTTTTGAATTCACCGAGATCGCTTTCAGTTCTTAATGCGGGCTGAAATACTCGCTGGCGAATCCTAATTACAACTTCTTAATCATGCGTTAGTTATAAGCTTAAATTCCTTGGCTAAAGAATCATGCATCAATTAAGATTTTGGATTTATGTCAGATTAAAAATTGGTCTGCTCGTCAAGATTTAATTATTCTAGTGATATAAAATATATCACTTGAATTTTCTAATGTGATATTCAAGCAAAACATATTCGAGAATATAATATTTCTATCTATAGATCTTATTCCTCTATTTTAAATACTATAATTTAATTTTTAATTTTATCAACTCAGAATTTTAATAAAACACTAATTCGATATTAAATTTAGAAATAATGAAAGTTCTTTTTTTTTTTTAAGTTTATATATAAGAACAAAATTTTGATAAAAATATCTGGAATATGTTTCGTAAATGGAAATTAAAATTATGCGCAAAGTTTATGCAATTCAAACAATTCGTACTATTTGCTACGAGATGACGGTAGTAAAATGACGGTCATTTGATTGTTACTGTCATCTATTGCGATACTTTTTTCTGATATGTACCAGTTGCGAATGTCGTTACTGGCATCGGAAACTTAGGTGATTTACAAGCGGGGCGGTTGATTTACTATTTCACTATCAGCAAGAAGAGATTTCTTGTATTCCCCTTGGAAAAACGTGCCGCGACTGAAAATGATCGGTTTCTCCAAACCCCGATATCATAAATTTTTCATTTTCTTGGTGAGATCGAAAGAATTATTAACACAATTGAAACATATGCAGACTCATAAATCAATCTTTGCGAGCTAGACCAATTTTTTGTAATCGAATAATTCATTAATATTATTACGAGAAAATGCATAAAAGAACCCAATTATATTCGATGTAACGTATATTCAATTATATTCAATATAATTAAAGTATGAATTTAAACAAAATCACCAAAGACAAAAATATTGTAATGTATATAACTTTATATTATGAAAAAAAATTGAATACGTTGTCATATCTTGTACAGAAAATATTTTTATTTAAATAAACAAAAACATATTTAAAAAATAAAAAAATAGAAATTAATAATCTTACTATTGTCTCTCGTGCTGTAAAAAAATACGATACGCGAGAGCGCTATAGTTTTTTATTCTCGCGTATTTATTTTCACATGCAACATCACCGAAACACATTATTAAATAAAGTATTTCCATATTTCGTCGTAATAGTGCGCGAATTAATTAGCAACCCTTTCCACACAACTGATCAGCCATTGATCACGAGTCCAGTATTACGATGACCTATTTATCGAAGGGAGTGCATTAAATGGCACGCCATCACCGCGGTTTCTCGTCTATCGACGCAGGTAGCAATTTTTCCATTGTCTCGCACGCCTTAGAGAAGCAACAATGGCGCGAGTTTTAATCTTACAGGAAATGCGTCTGTGGAGTTTTGACGCTGCGACTAGTTTTGATACGAGAACGTACCCAAGACTATATACGGTATCTTGCACGCGGTATCGATCATTCATCAATTACCCACATGTCGCAGCGATTTGGCATGCATTCCGTAAACGTATCGCCGGACTCTCGTCGATACGACGAGACAAATCTTGCCTCGAAATTTGCGAGAGCCCGCGCCCCGGTTCACAGGTGTCCGTGGCGACTATGCTTCCTCATTCGATACCGAACGCTGCCGTTCTCCCCCACGCGGCGGCGTCCATCGTTACGAGTACTCTCACCCCGTTCTCAACCGACACTGGGGCTCACTTCGTTATTCGCTGATACCCACCACGTCGACGATCAAAATTTCCGGTTGCGAACGCGAAATAACGTAAAGCTACGGACAATACGCTCAATATTCGCGTAAACTTGTAAAAAGATTTTTTTTTTTTAATACAAAATAGGATTCGCCAGAAGAGTCCACAGTGAACTATCTTGCAATTTCAAGATTCTACGTGAAGAAATGGTTTTGTCGACACCAATGACTGACGCTCGATGAATGCAAAGACTAACTGTAATACCGCAAACGACGCCGCGGTTATTTTTCGCGATTGGCTTCTCGAGCCGCAAGCACGCTGCCGCGAGATTTCCGACCTATGTACGCTCTCTCTTTCTCTCTCTCTCTCTCTCTCTCTCTCTCACTCTCTCTCTTTCTCTCTCGGCGAGCTTCGAGAGGGGCGCGGGTGTGCTATCGCGACTCCTGGCAGCACCACGGACCTGCGTTCGCGGCCTGGCCGGCGATCGTCTTCCTCGTCTCACTACAGTCCACCGCACGTTCCATCCTCCCGCGGAACAGCACCACCACCTCCGCCTCCTTCGCTGCCTCCTACTTCACCGGAGCGCAACACGGTGTTGCCTGGTATCTAGGCAACTTCGCGGAGCGTGGCTGCTCCCTCTGCCAGCAGCCCGTTCCACGTAGGCAACGAATTCGCCGTTCTCTTCGCCGTTCTTGCTCGCGCGCGGCTTCAGTTTTCTTCTTTTCCTATGATTTCTGCTCTAGTCTCGT